TTCTTTAGCATTTTACAATAGTGCTCATGCAGTGTAATTATCCTTTGTGTAACTGATCTATGTCATTTAGCATAAATTGCTGTAAGTTCATCTAAATTGTGCAGTGTTTCACAAATTCTTCTCCATTCTTCAGTGTTGCATAATATGCCATTGTATGAATGTACCACCATAGTTTGTTCATCCTTCAGTCCACTGATGGACACTCAGGTGGTTCCCACCTTTTGTTTCTTGTAAATAATGCTACATGAGTATATGCGTATCTGTTTTTGCCACTCCTCTTATTTCTTTGGGATATATTGTTTGTTGTTGTTGTTTGGTGCTGTCGAGTTGCAGACGACTCATAGCGACCCTATGAACGAACAGCCTGAGCACTGTTTGCACATAGAGTTTCTGGAGGCAAGCCATTTTGGAAGTGGATGTCGGGCCTGCTTCCAGGCTTGATTTAGTTGGGAAGCTCCAGCCAACACTGTCCACCATGGGTACCCATTACCACGATTGGCACATCACTGTCACAGGCTTTAGCATCACAGCAACCACGAGTTGCCTCTGTACAGCAACGCACAGATGAGTGCTATACCACCTAGAAGAATGTTTGTTTGACAGGAAAACAATTTGAACCCGGCTGAGGGCCCCAGATGAAAATCACCCACCTTTGGCTTGGTAGCATAACTTCTTTTCCACTAGGTCAACATAACTCTCTCTTTGGGATATATACTCTTTGGGATATATACTTACGTGTAAATGATCAAATGGTACTTTTATTTCCTAAACTTTCTAAGGAAGCACCAAACTGCTGTCCATAGTGGTTGCACCATTTTACATTCCCACCAGCAATGTATGAGATTTCCAGTCTCTCCACATCATAGCCAGTATTTGCTCTTTGCTGTCTTTTTTTTTTTTTTTGGCTGTCTTATTGAACATGTTGTATTTGCCGGTATGGGATAATATCTCATTGTTGCTTTGATTTGTGTCACTCTAACAGCTTGAGCCTTACTGCATGTGTTTGTTGACCACCTGATCATCTTCTTTGGTAAAGTGTCTTTTCAAGTCTTCTGTTCATTTTATGATTGGATTGTTTTTCTTGTTGAGCTGTTGGAAAATTTCCATACATATTAGAGTCCTTTGTCAGAAACATCATTGCTAAATGTGTTTGCCCCAATATGTAGGTTCTCTTGTTACCCTTTGGAGAAATTTTTTTATGGACTCAGGTATTTAATTATTAGGTAGTCTCAATCATCCATTTTATTCTCTACTGATTGTACATTATTGGCTATACTTAATAGTCTGTTTATGCCCTAAACCAGGGCTTCCAAGCTTATCCTTTCTTTGATGAATTTTTTTGTTTTGTTTTGAGCCTAGGTCCTTGATCCATCTTGAGTTAGTTTTTGTTTGTGATGTGAGGCATACATCTTGTTTTAAGTTTGTGTAAATATCCAGCTTTGCAAGTACCATTTGTTAAAGAGACTGCCTTTCTCCTACATAATGAATTCCATCTCTTCATCAAAGATAATCTGTCCACAGGAGGATTGATTTCTTTCTGGGTTCCCAATTCCATTTTATTGATATATGGAATACATTTATCATTGTAAAAGAAACAAGCTTTTTTGATTACTGTCACTGTGTAGTAGATTTTGAGGTCAAGAAATGTAAGGCCTCTTCTGTTTTTCATATTCAGTAGCACTTTCCTTATCTGTCATCTCTTTCCTTTCTATATTTAAATTTTGGGAAAACTTCAAACTGTTTTCCATAATGGCTAGACTATTCTACAATCCCAAACAGAATAGATGAGAGTTCCATTTTCTCCACACCTTTGCTAACATCTATTGTATTCTGATTTTTTTAATCATAGCCATCTTGGGATAAATGCAAATAGGTTTGATTTCTATTTCCCTAATGACTCTTTTCATGTACTTTTTTCCATGCACTTTTTGGCCATTTGTATCCATTCTTTGCTTGTTTTTATTTATTTTAATTATACTAGTTTATTTACCAAATTAAAATACAGTGTTTCCCAGAATAGGTGTTTTTAAATTGCTTTACTTTTTTGGCTGTTAAGTTGTAAGAATTTTTAGTTTTAATAATAAGCCCTTGTCAGATAGATGTTATTGCTGTCATGTACTGTCGAGTCAGAAGTGGGTCAGAGCTGACCCTCCAGCAGTTTTGCAGAGGCAGTAAAGCGCACAGGAGGAGGCTGCCCATCAGGTGGATTCAAACTGCCTTTCAGTTGGCAGCACAACTCTTTATTACTAAGCCACCTGAGCTCCCTTATCCCTTTATTTGCCAGGTCTGTCTTTTGAGGAACTTCTGTGTGAGTTTGAGCCCCCACTTTTTGGCAATTCATCATTGTTTTCTTCATTCCATATTGTTGATTGAAAAAATTGAGGTTGTTAACAACCACAGCTTGCTCTGCTCTACATTAAACACCCCTGGCAGCAGCACTCAGAAAAGCAAAAGATGACTCTCACTGGGAAAATCTACTATCAGGGACCTCTCCAGAGTACTAAGAGGCAATAATGTCAGTCAAGAGACTAAGACATATCTGGTCCAGGCCATGGTCTTTGCAATGACCTGCTGTGCATCAGAAGGCTAGACAATGACTAAAGGTGACAGAAAATTGATGCCTTTGAGTTGTGTTGTTGGAGAAGAATCTTGAACATACCACGATCATCAAGAAAACAAATAGGTCTGACTTGGAGAGAATGAGACCAAGTTTCTCCTTGGAGACTAGGATTTTGAAGCTTTGTCTCACATACTTTGGGCATGTGGCCAGGAGCGACCGGTCCTTGAAGAGGACATCATGCTTGGAAAGGTGGAGGGACAATGCAGGAAAGGAAGACCCAGATGAGATGGATTGACAGTAACTGGGGCAATAGGGGTAGGTGTGTTGGAGTCCTTGAGATTGGTTCAGGACACAGCAGGCTTCAGAGCTATTGTATATAAGATTGCTAAGAGTTGTAGGCAACTCAAAGGCACATAGCAACAACAACAACTGTCTGATCATCTATTCATCTTAGGCTGATGTTGCCTTCCCCTACTCCATTACAGTGTTCATTGTATTTCAATTTTATTCCTGTTCTCCCTGTCCGCTTCCCATAACCCTCCTATTTTAGTAAGAGTGGTCTTACATTACTTGTCTCTCTGTGACTGAGTTACTTCTCTCAGCATAATATCTTGTAGTCCTGCCCAGTATGTGTAGTGTTTCATGAATTCTTCATTGTTTTTCAGTGTTAGCACTGCAATGTACTGCAGTTACTCTATCCATGCATTTGTTGATGGTATTTAAGTGGCTTCCATTTCCTTGCCATTGTAAACAATGCTACAATAAACATATATTTGCATACAAACTATTCATGCTGAAGCTCTGATATCTAAATGGTGTATTCCCAGTAGTGGAATAGCTGTATCAAACACTTTTTCCATTTTTAACTTTGTGATGAAATACCTGAATCATTTTACATTCCCATAAGCAGCGCAACGAGAATTCTTTCTAATCTCTCCACGTTTTTGACAACATTTGTTGTTTGCTTGCCTATTAAACTTGACTATTGTTTCTTGAGTGAGATGATATACCATTTTTGTTTTGACATGAAAGGCACAGGATCTAATAGGGTTCAGTTCTGCTGTTCATAGATAGGGTTACTAAGAGTTGTAATCGACAGCACTTAAAATAGCAATAATAGTGGTCTTAAACATTTATTCACGTGTTTGTTGGCCATTTAAACTGGTTGACGTGGAGTCTTTTCACATATTCTCCCCATTTAGTAATTGGATTGTTTGTCTTTTCCTTTTTGAAGTGCTGGTTGTTACATGCTGCCAAGTTGGACCCAGATCATAGTTGACACATAGCTGGCAGTGGGTTTACAGAAGTTGTAAATCACACAGGAGGAGATTAGCTATCATTCTCTCCTGGAGCAGCCGAGACCAAAGTGACATAAACTCAACAGATTAGATATGGATTTTAGGGGGCAATGAGTTCATCTTCAAGAGGAAGAAACAATTTAGAAAATGAGGGTAAGAACAATTGCACAGGCTGAAGAAGGTAACTAGTCATTGACTTGTACATGTAGATGGAGTTGAGAAATCAGACTGCTGAAGTGCACACAGGACTGCTGTAAGGAAAGTTATAACACAAAGTAACAGTGTGGGAGCATTACTGATTATAAATTGTCAACAATAAGCTTGTTAAGAAGCAAATTGTACAAAGGTAGGATTTAAAATGCAGTTCTGTTACCTAATAAGATTATGACCATGACAAATTATTTAACTTTTCTATGCTTTATCTCATAATAAAAAGAGAATGAAAGTAGGAATTCACCTAAGAGGAACCTTGAAAGGAATAAATGAGTTAATATGCACACAGAATACTAAAACAAAATACACAGCAAGCTGATAATAAATGTTAATGTGCTTATAAGGTTAAACCAACATTAAGTAAGAATTAATTGAATATCTGTGGAACAAATGTAGATATGGAGGGGCCAGTCCTTAGAAAAGGACATCATGCTTGGAAAGGTGGGGAGTCACTGAAGGAGGGGAAAATCCTCAATGAGATTAATTGCTGCACTGATTACAATGATGGTTTGAAGTATGTTAGAGATGGTGAGGATGTCACAGGACAGGGCAGGGTTCAGATTGTTCATAGGGTCACTGTGAGTCATAGAGGACTTGATGGCACTTAACAGCAACAATATAAACAACTTAGATTTAACTCTTCACATTTTATAAGATGGTCAAGTTTTAAAAATATGTTCACACTACTAAGCTCAATGGGTTCTCACGACGACTAATTTCTACATATGACAAAACTGTTGTATGAAGAGGTCAAAAGTCACCAACACCACTCAGCTAACTGTTGGCAAAACTGAGCTAACACTTGGGCTTCCTGATCTCTGGCCCCCTCGACTCTGGGCTACACAGTGCCAGGGTCCCTCAGCTGCACTGGCTAGTACATACAGACTTTATCCAGAATGACATTTGCCAACAAAATGTAAAACAGGTACCTTTTCTAATCCAGCAGAACCTCGAAGAAAGAAATTCCATTCAGCATCAGTAAGTCTTCCTTGCTGACGCATAATCTCAACACAGATCATAAAGCTGTAGATGAGTTTATGTTGTTCAAAAAGTCCTCTTGAAATATTGACATAAGCAGTCAAAAGAGTTTGTTCCAGCAGTATGTCAAGCCGTGTCTCTAGGTCACTTGCCTTTTCAGAGGTTTCAATTGTTGTGTTGAACAACTGTATGAAAGAGAGCTTGGTTAAAGTTTCAGTTCAGTTAATTCTTCGTGGAGATAAGACAATCTCTGCTGCTCTCTTCCCCATATCTAAGTTCAGTGAGTAAAGAATAACATAAGAGTTGACCACTATACGAAGTTCAGAATTCATTACAAATTGACACTTGATGTTTCTTTTCCACACTCCTGTCTTTATTTGGAATGTGCATCCTAGACCAGACCCACTACTCTTGAGTCAATTCCAGCATATAGCCATCCTATGGACAGAGCAGAACTGCTGCCTGGATTCCAAGGCTGTGATCTTTACAAGCAGAGAAGGCGGTGGGTTCAAACTGCCCGTCCCTCAATTAGCAGCTGACAACCTAGGCCCTGCTGCCACCAGGGTGTTTTATAGAAATGAACCAAAACCAACCTTCTGACAATACACAAAAGGCATCATATTTATGTAGGACAGAAAATAATGGAAAAGAGAGGTAAGCGAGTACTACCAGTTTTTTTACGTCTTCTAAAAAATGTTTGACAAACCTTTCATATTTAGGTGACAGATGTTAGAACAAGGTAAGGTCATGTACTCTTAGCACTTCTTTAAGATAAGGCCTAGAGTATGAAAAGAACATTCTGGAATTTTCTTTGGAATTTAAGACAAATTTATTTTAAAGGTAACATCCACCTTTCTGTTCGGGAATTTTGAAAGGACCCTTCTTCCTCACGACAAGTGCTCCACACGACAAAAGTGTAGAGAAGGCAGCGATGATGGTAGTTTAAGAATGAGAGGATCGGAGCCTGTGGGGAAACTGGGCAGAAACTGAGCTTGTGAGCCTGGCTGGAGATCATGAGAGGCGAATCCTGAGCAGTTGTTGAAGGCTCATTCTACCAAGGACAAGAGGGGCACTTGGCAGAGATTTCAGGGGGCCTAAAGTACAAGGAGGCAGAGAAGGCCAGTGAGGTAATGGTTGACTAAATTCTGGATCACCCTGAGAGGAATTAAAGTGCATAAAGAGAGCAGATGGATCAAACCAGACTAGAAACCAGAACTAGCTGAAAACCAGGGCAAATGAAAGCCAAGAGGTGCACATCATTCCTCTCTAACAGTACCACACTCGGGTGTGCAGCTCTGCCATGGACCCACCCTCCTGCTGTTGCTTGGATGAAGCACATGATGAAGGAAAGAAGCTGGATGGTCAATGTTGCCTTACTAAATGGTAGACCTCCATTTAAAATATGAAAAGGGCTTGGAAGAAGGGCTTAGAGAACTGTAGATGTTAAAGCCTCTGAAATGCTCTTGAAAGTGTGGTTTACAAAGGGCAGTGGAGTTATTGTTTTAAGACGTATATTAGACAAGAAAGTGAAACTTTATTTAACAACCAGAAAAGAAGCAGAACAGTAAAAGCACAGTGTAGAGGCAACAGATTTGGTGTGAAAATAAAGTACAGTGAGATGGAAAGCATTCTGAATGCTTTCAACCTACGCTGTGGTGGCGAATGGTAGAGGATGACTTGATACCACCCACGAATACAGGTAAGTATCTAGTTTCCCTTTCAAATTACAGCTTTATTGATTAGCCCAATATTTCCTTTTTATCTCAGCTCAAGCTAAGATTTTTTTTTCTAAATCTTACTTTTATTTACTGCTGTTGTTTACCGTTGGGTTGGAAACAGCCCATAGCTGACCCTCCAGCAGGTTTTCAAAGGCAGTTAATTGCATGGGAGGAAATTGCCCATCCTTCTCCCGCAGAGTGGTTGGTGGCCTCGAACTGTATGCCTTTGGGATTGCAGCACAGCTTCTTGCCACTAGGCTACCAGAATTCCTATTGTAACAGCTTTTAAAACTTCAAAAATCTCCAAATACACAGCATAAGCAAAGTTATCATTACAGTTAGATAGTATTCAACAGGTAACTGATCCTTATCTTGCTTATTACCCACAAACTAAAGGAAGGGAACAGATAGGAAGTTTATCTTTTAATATGCCTTCTCTGGCCCTAATTTGATGTTGTTATGTAGATGGGCTAGAATATGTGAATGGAGTGTGTTGGCCTATCCACAAAGGGATTGGTTATCTGCCATTCCACAAGGAAATTGGCCAGTCTCAACAACCTGCAAGGGGATTGGCTAGTCTCACCAATAAGTGGAAGAGATCTAGCTGCAGAGATAGTAATTCTTCTTCTATCAGAAGCAATGAATTCTTTACCCAGACATCTCTGGGTAAGAGAGAACTTCCTTACCTGGTGAAATGTTGGACATGCTTTGAAACATCAATAGCAGCAATGGCTAAACTGGAAAATTGATTTGAGATGGGAAGTTGGTAGATGCAAGCTAATATTGGCAAGACTGAGAACTTTGTTGGACAATTGGTGAGAAAAAGCCAATTTTAGCAGGAATGAGAACCTAGAAATACTTAGAGCCACAAGACTTGAGGCTGAGGTGCCTGTGTGCACATTTTGGAAGCTGTCTTATCTGTATTTTGTTATTAATCTGATTCTGAATTATAATCTTTTAACTCCTCCAATATGGTTCTGTGTGGTCTGTGAGCTATCCCTTTGGATTCTGGATCCAACCAAGCATTAAATTGGTGTTGAGATGAGTAGAAGGAGGCATGGGAGTGTGGGGGACATGTCTGACCTCATGGGAATTGGTGTTGTGTTATTCATGCTGTGAGCAGGGATAGTTTCCCTCCGTGAAGTTTATAAAGGTCAGATATAGAGCTCTTCAAGTGGCCTGTGCTCTTTTTACAGCAGAGCTATGAGAGTGGCAAACCCTTGACTTTAGGAATTGAGGAAAAACTCCAAGATAGCACCTTTTCCAAGACCTATTTGTTCTTCAGGCAGTCCATGGGATATTCAGTATTTTTTTCCCCAACACCACAGTTCAAAGGCATCAATTATTCTGTCATCCTTATTCGTTGTGCAGCTCTCAGCTGCCTAGCAGGTGACTGGAAAGACTATGGCTTGAATAAGGCACACTTTAGTCTTTAAACTGACATCAATGCTTTTTAGGACCTCAGAGAGATCCCTGGAAGTAGACTTTTCCAATGCTATATGTGTCCTGATATCCTGGCTGTTGATACCAAGGGTGGTGATTGTGGATCCAAGTAAAATGAAGTTGGTGACAATTTCATCTTTTATCTTTTTCAATGTTGCATATTGGTGCAGTGACGAGGATTTTTGTTTTTTTGATGCTGAGATGCAAGTCATGTTGAAGGCTGCCCTGTTTAACCTTTTGTAGTAAGTGGTTCAAGTTTTCCTTACTTTCAGCAAGCAAGGATGAATCATCTGCATAATAAAAGTTATTGATGAATCTTCCTCCATTCATGATGGGACATTCTTCTTCATAGAGTTCAAGTTCTCAAATAATATGTTTCGGGTACAGACTGAATAGGTATAGAGAATGAATTCAACCCTAATACATGTTGTTGTTGTTGTTATGTGCTGTCGAGTCGCCTGCGACTCATAGCGACCCTATGTACAACAGCCTTAAACTCCACTCTGTCCTGTGCCAATCGCACTGTCTCTGACACTCCCATCCCAATTATCCCAGTCACTGAATCAATCCACCTCATAGAGGGCCTTCCTCTCCAGCGCTGTCCCTCCACCCTCCCAAGCATGATGTCCCCCTCTCCAAGGACCGGTCTCTCCTCACAACATGTCCAAAGTACGTTAGACGGAGCCTCAGAATCCTTGCCTCCAAGGAGCCACCCGGTTGAACCCTTTCCAGGACAAATCTGTTTGTTTTCCTAGCAGTCCATGGTATTCTCAATACTCTTCTCCAGCACCACAGCTCAAAGGCATCAATTCTCTTTCTATCCTCCTTAGTTATTGTCCAATTCTCTGATACATAACAGGTGATTGCGAAGACCGTGGCCTGTATCAGACGCACCTTAGTCTCCAAAGAGATACCACGGCTTTTCAGTACTTTGGAGAGGTCCCTAACAGCAGACTTTCCCATGGCAATGCGCCTTTTAATTTCCTGGCTGCTGGTGCCAAGACTGTTGACTACGGAGCCAAGCAAACTAAAGCTGTGTACAATCTCAATCTCTTCACCATCCATCCTGATGCTGCCAATTGGTCCAGTGGTGAGAATCTTTGTCTTCTTGACATTGAGCCTCAATCCATATTGTAGGCTGTAGTCCTTGACACTCTGCAGCAGGCGCTTCAGGTCCTCCTCAGTTTCAGCAAGCAGGGTTGTGTCATCTGCATAACGCAGATTGTTGATAAATCGTCCACCAATCTTGACCCCACATTTCTCCTCATAGAGCCCAGCCTCCCGGATAATCTGTTCTGCATATAGGTTGAAAAGGTATGGAGATAGGACGCATCCCTGGCGTACGCCCTTCCCAATTTTGAACCATGCAGTGTTCCCTTGCTCTGTTCTGACAACTGCCTCCTGGTCCAAGTATAAGTTTTGCATTAGAACGATCAAGTGTTCTGGGATTCCCATTCTTCTCAGAGTCAGCCATAGTTTGTTATGATCTACACAGTCAAATGCCTTTGAATAGTCAATGAAACACAGATAGACATTCCTCTGGTATTCCCTGCTTTCAGCCAAGATCCATCTAACATCAGCTACAATATCTCTAGTACCACGACCCCTTCGGAAACCAGCCTGGACTTCTGGTAGTTCTCTGTTGATATGCTGTTCCAGTCGTTTCTGGGTAATCTTCAGTAAAATCTTGCTTGCATGTGAAATCAATGACATTGTTCCATAGTTTCCACATTCGGTTGGGTCACCTTTCTTTGGGATAGGAACAAATATCGATCTCTTCCAGTCAGTTGGCCAAGTGGTCGTTCTCCAGATATCTTGGCACAACTTGGTGAGCACATCCAGGGCAGCATCTGTTAACTGAAATATGTCAATTGGTATACCATCTATTCCTGGAGCCTTATTTTTTGCCATTTCCTTCAAAGCAGCCTGAACTTCTTCTTTCATCACCATAGGCTCTTGCTCATATGTTGTTTCATGAAATTCTTCTGTGTCTTCCAATTCCTTTCGATACAGTGACTCAGTATATTCCTTCCATCTTCTTTTAATACTTCTGGGATCATTTAACATTCTGCCGAAAGCATCCTTGATTATAGGAACTCAAATTTTAACCTATGTTGTGTTCCTTTAAATATGGATTGAAGGTCAACATCAAGAAAACAAAGATTTTTTTTCCTTCTGAGGCTTTGTCTCACATATTTTGGACATGTTGCAAGGGGGGGCCAGCCCTTGGAGAGGGACGTCATGTTTGGGAGGATGGAGGGACAGAGAAAGAGAGGAAGACCCTTGATGGATATATTGATTCAGTAACTGGGGTAATCATGGTAGGTGTGTCAGAGACAATAAAGTTGGCACAGGATAGAGCAGGTTTCAGGGCTACTGTACATAGGGTCGCTATGACTTGCATGTGACTCAACAGTGCATAACAACAATAACAGTGTTCCCATGCTCTGTCCATACAAAAGCCTCTTGGTGTATGTATAGGTTTCACATAGAATATTATAGGAGCATCAGATTGACAACTCTCTTCTGGAGAGGTTCTCACAGATTTTATTCATGTAGCATTCATAAAGTGTGTTGTGGTGCTAGACACCATGGGGAATGCAGGAATGGGTGAGACTTGAGGCCTGCATTTGGGAGAGCAGACTCTAACTGGGGAGAGAATCCTACTCAGGCAATTAATATCCATGCCATATATATTAAATTAAAGGCATATCCAATGTGTTCCATTAAAAACTGCTGAAAATTCCTTGCTGTGTTTCCCATTGAAAGATGAGAGTCTAGTTGCCCTCCTCCTGAGCCTAGACTAGTCTTAGTGAGTTTATTTGCAAGAGAAAGAAGAGAAGTAATGTTTCAGGACAACCAGTGCTAGGAGGTCAGAACAAGCTTTGAAGCTTTTACATCAGTTTCTTAGGATATTTGTTTTTTGCTAACTCCCTCATGGAATCCAGTTGCTAGATTGTGAGAAGTCCAGCCATATAGAATAGTCATGAAGGTGCTATGCTTGGCAGCTCAGCCATGTAAGTCGGCCATCTGGGGAGGTCCAGTCCACTTGAGATTCCAGATGCCTGCAGCCCATCAGTAGGAATCCCTGGAGAAAGTGACATTTGAACCAGGAGGGAGGGCTTTATAAATGGAGGGAGCACCATAAATATCAAATCACGAAGTGGATCAATTTGCAGAAGAACACTGAGAAATGTGGCTAGAGCAACTGGATGGGCTGGATTCAGCTCTGAGAACATGGATTGAGCTGTGTTTGACTCCCCTAAAAATTTCAGTAAGACCAGTGCTGCATACTGAAGCTTTGGAACACTGAAATTACTTATGTGCAATGTCATGAAATGCGTCTAGAAAGAGTGAGGAATGGAGACAAGTCTTCCTCACAAGAGAAAAGATAGGATGCAATTGCGAGTATGAGACAGAGAGACCATAAATCAGGCAGGAGGGTCTGACAGCCATATATATAGTGAGAGAGCAAAGGGGGCCAGGGCTTCTAGGATACCTCAGAATGAAAGCCTGGACTAGTCTGCATTATTAAAAGTCTTTCCAGGGAAAAGGGTGCTCTTGTGGCCAAGTGGTAAGAATTTGTACTGCAATCCCAAGGAAATGGAGAAAGCAGATTAGTTAAGGTCGGTACAGTTAAAGACATCACAGAAAACACAAGCCATGGAAAGGAGGCTAGACGACTATAGAAAAGGCTAAAGAAATAGCTCACAGGAAGAAGGCAGGAAGGAAAACGAATTAGTTGACAAAGTCAGGAGAAAACCGAACATGAGAAGGGGCGTTCTTTTCCTCCTTTACAGACAGTTCTATGCACACTGGGTTTGTAAATCTTTAGGAATCATAGCAGTTAGAGTCACTTTAAAAACCAAACTCAATAGAAGTCCAAACCCAGACCCCTAGTGACATTTACTTGTTAAACAGACTCATGAAAGGAACAAAATATCATTTAAAGGAACATCATGAGATACGTTTCATTTGCAATGATAGCAGTAATGACCACCACCTACCTTACCTGTTTAAAATACTTCAGTGAATATTGATACATGGGGTCTATCTCTGAGAGGCTGGCAATGACAAAGTACATGACAGACCCCTGAGTGGCTACTGGGCGGTACTTCTCACGAGCAACGTTGATCATCTTTTCCGTGGACTCTGCTTCCTTCAGTCGGGTTTTAATAGCCCCAGAAGTGATCTGAATGAACAGACAAGGATATGTTCTTAGAGGCTGGTCTCAGGAAGAGTCAGATTTTAAAATCTATGCAGTTGGTCTGTTGTTGCTGTTGTGCACCATCGACTTGGAACTGACCCATAGTTGACCCTCTAGTGGGTCTTCAGAAACAGTTTATTGCATGGGAAGAAACTGCCCACCTTTCTCCCCTGGAGTAGTTGGGGGACTTGCACCATGTCTTTGGTATTGTAGTGCAGCTTCTTGCCACTAAGAACACAAAAGGAAAGATGACACTAAAATTTTGGGAGCTGGAAAATGGAAGAAGTGAAAATGACTTAGCAGATGTGGAAAATGGTTTTTAAGCTGGTGAAGGAGAAAAACAAAAGAACCCACCAAATTTATGAAGCACAATTCTTTTCTAGGGCTTAGGAATTTATAGCAACAAGCAACTGGTTAGAAGTGGGAAGGGCTTAAAAAAATAGTATTGATTTGGAGACCTTCAGGCTGTTTACCTACATCACCCAGCCAGAGGATTGCCCCTTGCCCACTCTGGCAGAAAAACAGATGTTAGCTGTGAAGTAAGAAGGAAGGTCTTTGAATGGAAGGAAACCAGGCACAGGAGAGAGCAGGGTTGTTACTGTGTGTCATCAAGTCTATTCTAACTCATCGTGACCCTATCTGATGGAGCAGAACTGAGGCTGAGGGTTTCCTAGGCTGTAACCTTTACAGGAGAACTGAAGGCCTTTTCTTCCTTTTGGGCTTCTGGGATATTTTGGCTGCTGAGTGCCAAGTCATTGGGCCACCACATCTCCTTGAGGGCAGGTACCATACTGAAAACATATTAACGAATTTATACACTGAAGGGACAGCAAAACCCCCATTAATGCCAGAAGCAGAAGCGGGCCATAAAAATTCTTAGCTTAAGGCAAACACGAATGCCCTGGGTAAAGTCTTATTTGTCCTTGCAAAGTAAAGAATTAACTAGTGTCTAAGTGACACGGAACGAGTAAAGGCAGGCAACGTAGCCAGCCTGTCAAAAGCCAACCCACATGACTGATCCCCCGACCCACCAACTATGATTCTCAATCTCCCTGCCCCAACAGGGCACCCAAGAAAAGCTATAAAAGCAATTGGGAGGGGGGACTCGGGGCTTTTTCCCCCGCTACCAACTCACGGAGGGAGAAAGTCTCCATATGTGGAATTAATAAACGCTCTTGAAATTTTCAGACATGTGATTGGATCTCCTTTGAGGGGCATTTCGTGGTCAGAACATACACACTGGGTTGTGAGACCTTTCCTTACTCCTTTTCTCAGCCTCCAAAATGCTTCTAGTTAGGTCTTCTCACCCTCCAGGCAATGTAGGCATTGAATGTTTAGCTATAATTCAGATACACTTACATGGCGAAGTTGGGACATGGGAAGGTTATGAGTGTGTAATGTAGAGGTTCAGGAAGATACTTTTGATATTTTATTATGGATAGACAATAATCAATGGGCAAAACAAGAAATTCAAGCATTAACAGCAATGAGTTTGAGTTTAGAGAAAAGATGTGAGAATGCAATTCCCAGCAAAAAAAGAGAAAGCACTGGCTTCTGTGAAGGCAAGCATGGAGGAAGGTGGATGGAACCCAGGGATTACTGGGTTTCATAAAAAGCTTTGTAGAACTATTTCACTCTTTTAAGCAGTTTGAAAGTAAATCGCTGAGAAGAGGACACATAACAAATAGGTTAACAAGTAACTGAATTAAACACTCAAGAAGAATGAATGACTGATGAACAGAGACAGAGAGGGAGGAAATGGTAAGCTGAGGATTAATTATTGACTGTTCCGACACTAAGATCTCAAGAGACCAGGATGTAAAGTGGTAAGCAACTGATAATGTTAGGGAAAGACAATGGAAAGAACTTTGCTTCTTGTCCAGTGAAGTTAAAGGAATTTTTAAAACAAATGAATTTTTTTTCATGAGTGAATAAACATAATTGTGCAGGCTTTGTTACTGTCGCTGTGGCTAGGCACCGTTGAGTATGATTCAAGGTACCTATGAATGATAGCTCTGAATCGTATCCTATCCTGTGCCATCCTCATCATCTCTGGCACTTGAACACATTGTTTCTTGGAAATTAGCACACTAGGTTCTTAATGTTCACTTTTAACATCATGGCTTGGGTCTGCAAAATAATTTGCTGTACTTAAATGACATTTTATGTAAAACTATCTTTGTATGAGATGTTCATACCTTCAACAAATATTTATTGAGCACCAAAAATGTACACCATGCTAAGTGCTTGGAGAAGTAATATCAGATGAATTAGTCACTGATTCCAACCACATAAAAGTTACAATGCACAATGAGGGAGAGAATAGTTTAAAATTAATATATTTTAGGGCATTATGATTATCATAAGAGTCCGGAATGAGGGTTGCGGAGTGGAGTATACTTGGGGTGGGGGTGGGAATGTGCAGGGTTGGGGAGGGGACTGTGTACAAATGAAGGAGTTTGTCTTTTGCTTTTCAAGGAGAGGAGCAAACTGGGGGTGGGAATGGGGTGGGTGGGGAGAAAAGTGCAACAATGAATGAATGGAATTCCAAAATCTCTGTAGATGTTCATTGAAATTAATAATAATAATAATAATTTTTTTTAAAAAGTTACAATGCAGCAGTGAAAGAGAGGAGATGTGAAATTCAGTAACTGTGCTAGATGGTAAGTGTAACAGGTGTTAGAATAGAATAAGGTGCTCTAGAAGCTCCCAGAAGGAGGAGGCAAAACCACCTATGAATACCAAGAAGATGTCCTGAAGGGATGATAGTAATGTACGTATGTAATTCTACTTGTTCCTTTCAACTAATATTTTGTCCGTGTTCTTTACATTGCATGCTTTATTAAAAGACAGAGACTAGAGGAGCAGCTGTCTACAGTTTCTCTACTCTTTTTGGTTGGTGAGGCGCACTGCTAGCCAGGCAGCAGTGTGTGTGTGCCCCAGCCAGCCGCCCTCCTGACACTAAAGGCCCTGTAGCAAACTCATAGATCATGGCTGTACTTCTTAAACAATCCACTTTCTGTAAACACTGAAAATATTTTACTTGCCTTTGAATCCTGGAGTGTGTCGATGAGTTCTTCATTGTCCAGAATATTTCCTTCTGATGTAAAGAGCATTTTCAAGATTTTCTCTTCTATGCTTTTCAGCTGGTTCTTGTCGGTGTTGATCCTCACAATGAGCTTGATTCTTTGTTCTTCTAGCTCAGGCTTTTCAAGTCGCACCACATCACTAGAACCAAAGTTTGAACAGTTGAGTTATTCAAACTGGTCCGTGTCCTCAACTTGTTATTTCCCTTTATCTATTTCTAATGGTTCCTATCAAAACACCATTCAGCTGAGTATATAAGCTAGTCACCAAATCTGAATGCACACAGCCTCTTGTGTTGGCTTTGCTTAGTGACTCATCACTGAACTACTCCCACTTACACTTCTTCATTTTGTAGTTCAGAGCCCTGTGCAGGGTACTTTCCATAGCTTCTGCTTGTCTTAGAAAAACCTCAATACTTGATATATGTATCACCCAGTTCTGTCTCTAATGCTTCTTTGCTCCAATCTGAAAATAGAACTTGGATCATATTTCTCATTTTGCATGAAGCTTTCTCCTCTCCCTCACGTAGGGGGATTCCCTCAGACTCTGTAAAACAATTCCGACGCATCTGAACAAGGATCCTCACCACTGGATCCAAAACGTGAGCTGAGGTCCTTCTTTACATGCTCATTCATAATTTGAGTCCCAGCCCTCTATTTTCAGGAATCAATGTTTAGTGAGTAGCATGTCGCTCGTGGCTTATTCTTTCCGGTCCTCAGTATGTCCCTGAGAGGCAGGCATTGTGCATGTGGGCACAACAGACTCTTACGGGTCAAGGCCTTGAGGCTAAGAGACACACAGTTGGGCTTGAGTCTGGTCTGCTGACTCCAGACTACAGCCACTGCTGAGTTCAATGTGACTCCGCAAGCCTGTGTGGTACAGAGCAGAACCCCTCTATACTAACTTTGTAGTCATAATCTTTGGAAAAAATTATTTTATTGTAATTTGGGTAAAAACGTACAGGCCAAATAGTTTTTTTTATCTGACAAGTCAGACATATTTTATTTTATGACAATGGTGGTAATTCCTTTAGTTTACATTAAAGTTCTTTTCCCAATTCTTTCCTGAGTTTCTTGTTTCAGTTTGCCTTTCTTTCCTGACCCTTCTTGCCTTCTGAGCTTGACATTTGGGAAAATACTGCCCTTTTAATGTTATATGGCTTATTGGACCAAGGAGTACATTCCACTTCAGTGTTATTATTCAATTTACAGTCTCAATATTCACTATTGTCTGGTGAAAGGTGACCTCTGGGTCTAAAGACTACAAACCCAACAGCAGAAGATTATAAGGCCTTATTTTTTTGGTGCTGCTGGAAGTCTAAACTAGTCCTTACTAACCGTCTGAGGGACCACTGCTGACTCCAGTGTACGTGTTACCACCCACTATGATAACATATTAACAACCCACTCTTCATGTGCTATGCACAGGCTGGATTCGGAAACCTTACAAATTATTCTATGAAATCTTTAAGAAGTTAGCACCTCATATTTAGTTGATTAAAGAAGTATTCCCAGAAGAGAAACATTTAAAGAATTTCTAAGATAAAGGTAAGCTCATGGGACAGAATGGTGGATCACAGATCAAATGGATCACAGAACCCAAGAGGGTGCCAGGGAAGGCAGTGAGAATAAGAGATGGAAGGGAGACCGAAGGCAGTGGGGATGGTGGGATGGGCTAGTGGACTCCTGAAGGTGAAGGAGGATGTCCTGTTCTTTGGGTGTCCTCTTCCTGTTCTTTGGGTATCCTACTCCAAAGAACAGAAAACCTGCCTCTTGGCAGCTTCCAGAAGCTTCAGAAATGAACCATAGTTTTCAAAATTGTGAGGAGCCTGGAGAAAATGTACACAGTCAGTAATGACCAAGAGCTCAGCAGATTGGAGGACAAGTAAGACAACAGTTGCTCGTCAGCACTCTGGAGATAGAACTGCATCCTTTCATAAACTTGGGTCTATCAGCTTCCCTCTTCAAAATCACCAACCAAGGAGATTCCACAACCCACTGCTGAAGTCTCAGGAGACTTCTTGTCCCAGTCACTTTAGCAGTATAACCAAGCTTAACTACTTATGGGGATAGATTGGCCTGAAAAATTCTCAATCATACCATGAGAGTATTTCCATGAACTATGGTGACATATCCTTTGATTGGTAATTAATGAACTTAGCAGAAGTTAAGCAAGTTAGCAGAATAGATTCTTAAAGGAAACAAGAAAAATGAGACAAGTTTGTCAGTGATAACAGTGGTTCTTGAGTCTAGCAATTGGATCCTATCTCCATACCTTTTCAACCTATATGCAGAACAGATTATCCAGGAGGCTGGGCTCTATGAGGAGAAATGTGGGGTCAAGATTGGTGGAC